TAAGGATGGTGGCCCTAATATCGGAGTTCGTAAAGATATGTCTATTTTCCGGTCATCAGTTGTCGGCGCAGGGGCAAAAGGCCCGTTAACATGAGAATCAAGGCCGTTGCTTCTTTCGATCACATGCTTGGAATCGTTACGCGAAAGCATAGCGTTCAGTTTGGATACTGTAGGGCTGATATTGGTTATAAACGTGACGTCAGACTTGGACGTCTGCTTTGGCGAGGCTGAGATTACCGAGTGGGCTGAGGGAGATTTGCTCGACCTGACAGTTTGGTTGTTTTGGCCAACAAATACCCTGTGAAGGAGGCTAGACAATAGTGCGTACTGGCGTAGGATCTACGCACAATGGTAAGTAGCTGATCATGAAGCAAGGGGAATTCGAAAGTAAAAAAGTAATAGGGGTGAATGTCTATGGACTCACAGGAAGAACATCAGCCAACTGCCGAGGGTGAGAAAACGGAAGATCACGTATGGTGCGTCCGACAATATGTTCAAAGGGGTGGAAAGTGTATATATGCCGGTGTTTTCTCGGTTGGCAATCGTCGTCAAAGCTATACACAACTTTTTCATGAATTCTTCCGTTGGGCGCTGCCAAACTATTTTCATCTTGACCGTCTCCTGTCGAAGTTAAGTTTGGCAGAGGAACTACCAGTCCATCATATGTAACCGTTTTGGGCTCCACGGGCATGTTCATCCCAAGTAGCCTGTATACTTCCGCTGCTGCGATTATAGGCATATCGATAGGTGGTTCCAAGCGTGCAACGAAACGCCGATTTGGTGTCGTAGTACCCAAGGCAGTAGAATCGAGAGGAACATCGTTTGGGTTGCTGACGAGGGTGGCAGGAGGTTCAATCCAGTTGACTAACAAAATCTCAGAGTCGTTCCCGTCGGCGGTTAAAGAGGAGTCCCCGTTATTCATAGTTGTAAAAAGTTCGGCCGCGATCCATTCCTTAGACACTCGTAATAATGGGTAGCCTTCTTCACACTCGATCGCTGCTCTCCATGTCTTATGTGTCTTGGCAGGGGCGGGCTTTCGATCGTCTGGGGTGGGTTGATCAATATTCATGGCATTCGGACGGCCATTCCGATTTGAATCCAAAGTCTGTCTTTGCTCAACCCAATATTGGAGGCTCAGACCAATCCGGCCGTCTTGGTGGATGCCGGGATGGCCCACCTGGCTCGTGCAAACATGTTCACAATGGCCCCTCCCTGGATATCGGCTTAATTCACCTTCCCATAGTCGTTTCAAACTCTTGTACAGTCCTTCGACTGCTTCAAAGCAATTGATCTCCTGACTGAGCCAATCCAATTTGGCTAGCCTATGTAAATTCGAATGGAACGCATCAAGGCTTTTCCAAGGAATCTCTTCATTCTTTCCAACAGTCTGCATTAGATCTCGCTTTAGTACCGCAGAAGCCTCTACTCGTCTTTCCCCTTCCACAGCACTTGGAGTTGTATACTTTAAGCTGACATCCTTAACGTTCTCCGACCCATCTTCAAACTGGATCTCCAAATCCACAAGGTTCCCAGCAATGCTTAGTATATTTTCTTGCCACATACATTCGAAGCCCTCAAACTTCCCTAGCCTCTCCACACCTTCACGACATATGCCTCTTCCAGAAACACGAGTTCTCAGCAGACGGATCACCTCTTCCATTCGGCGAGCTTTCTCTTCATCAGTGTCCCTTGGGCCACCCATACCCAAGGCCGACATCCCCATTGAATGGATACCATTTTCGTTGATCCCTGGCCCGGTTAGAGCATCGTTCCCCGCAGGAGATGGCGTGATACCGCCCAAGCCAAGAGCCAGCAACGCTGATGGTGAGCTGAATGCGACAGCATCCTCCACCGAGGTAGGGGCAGCCATGGGGGTCGGATACTGGTGTGAAGATATACTGGGGTGATGTCCATGGCCAGGAGCAGAAGGCGTCCTAATAGAAGGGGACTTGTGGGAAAGCGGACGGCCCATGGGCACTGCTGATGGATGAGGTGATGAAGTTGGGTGAGGCGTTTGCCCAGGGTTGTGCCTGGATGACGGGGTGGCCATGATTATGATGATGGGTCCCCGTCCAACAAGCAGATTTGAGTCAGCGCGAACCCGCCGCAAACTGGATTGAGATTGCCTAGTAACATAAATAGTGCTTTTAATACAGCTGTAGAAGCCGCTATGGCTGGAAAAATCACAGCTCTGATTGATTCAGATCCGGCTTCCTCGGGAATCAAAGAGTTACGGCTCAATCGTAACCAGAGTCAAAACAAATGGATGAAATCATTTCCGGGTGCGTCTTTAGTATAATTGGGTACTGCGCAAAGCTTGTGGGCGCCAAAGCTGCCCTGCTTCGAGAACGCTTTGAGTTATTTGGTCCGGGTGTTGAGCAACGCGAAGTCATGTGATGGTAGTTAGCTAGTTACTATTGG